GTAAGAAGGGGTTCTTTAATGTTTTTAAGAGTTTATATATATTATATATATATATATATAATTTCAAGAATAGATCTAATACTTTTCAAAAGTTATTAGGATATTTAAGACTTAAAATATTTATTAGGTGACCAATAAAATCCTCCAAGCTACCTTTTTCTTTGTTTTTGTTTTTTCTTATGAAAATCTTTGTAAATTTTTTTTGTTAAATATAATATTACGGTGTAGATATAGTTGAAATTGTGTTATCTAATATTTTATAGATTCATCCTTAATAAAAAAAAAAAAAAAGTGTCGTCATTTTGTTTTTATTTAGGTGGAGATGATGCAGTGATAAAAACATGTTGTCGTTGAAAGGTACCAACCGTGAGAATTAAAATATCTTCAAAATTTGCGTAGAAAATAAAAGAAAAAGAAATGATTAAAGTAAAGTCGTCGTGCATTCGCTGTCTAAGAGAGGGTTCAGATTGAGATGGCAACAATTATAAAATGGATGGAGGGTTAAAAAATATGGTGGGCTATTTAGTATTTATAAAAATTATAATTCAACCTTCAAAAAAGCAAGAAAGGGGTGCGATGGTGCGGGACCTTTAGCTTACCTAAGGTCCGATTAGGAGAGAAAGCCTAGACTCAGCCCACAAAAGTCCAGCTTCCAATTACCGGCCTTTTTTCCAATCCATAAAAAAAATTACATTTGATTTGGTTTAGGCCCATTTGTAACCAATATCCTTTTGGTTTTGTTAGAAAAGAATTTTCATTCGCATACACCAAATAATAATTTTACCAAAATTCAGGACATTGAGAAATAGTTTCCAGTTGGGGCCAAGCTAAACATCAATACCTGCAAAAACAATGTAAAATAAGCCTAAAAAATTAATGAGGCCATTTCTCTTGATATTAAATTTTACTAAATAAATCTCAAACTACATCGGAAGAGAAAATATTATGTGTTTGGTGGCAATTATCAAATTCTAAAACGGGTACTAAAATCACTCAATGTTTAGTCTAAATGAAGAAACCTACAAGTAGTCTTTTAGTAATTGTCTCTAGTGTTCCACTTCCACAGCTTAATGTTACTGAGATATTCTGCATCTCCTCAAATTTTAACTCTTATTCACCTCATTTTACCCATAAATACCCTTTTATTGATGGGTTGTTTTCATCTTTCTGTAATAAGTGATTGAAGATTTTGGGTTGTAAGTTATTGATTTGATAAAGTGTAGGGCATGGCAGTAGATGCTTCCGAATCTGAATCTGCACCCACCTACAATCTTCAATTCAGCGTTTAAATATTTGTCCTACTGAGCTGAGAAGAGGTCAATACAGTGATTAAACTAGTGTGTTATTATTTAATTACGAAGCTCGAGATAGTTCAGAAATCAGGCCCCAAATGGAAATGGCCCAACCATGAAATGCCTAGCCTAGAAGTAGAACTGTGTTTTTGTTTGGTTTGGTGGTGTTATTAAACTCGACCTACACGTGATCCTGACAATCACATTATAACATGGAGAAGTGGGTATGTTTTTAATGAGAAATTTTAAATAAGATGGAGGTGATTACTGAATCTTGCTAAGCCTAAAAAATGAAATGTCAAGTGCATTATTAGTATCACCTAACAGAACAGAAGAGAAAAGAAAAAAAAGCCAAAAAACTGTACTGAAAAGCATGCATGTTGGCAATAAAAAGAGTACCAAAAATGTGTATAAGATTGATGTTTCATGTCTTTGTTTTGTCAAACTGCCATCTATTGTGCATCATATCAAGGGCCCCGAACCCACAGTGCCTTTAATCACAAACATTATTTTTAGCTACTTGGATGGATATGGTACAAGATGTAAATGAGAAGATAAAATGTATTGGTTCTGAAAAAGCTAAGGCCTGCCGTGTTTGTTTAGTTGCCGTGATCAACGTGAAACTCCATTAATAAATTAAAGAAAAGGGTAGTAGCAACATTATTTGAAAGTGAAATGGGTTTTGGACATTTTCAAACATTGATTACTGAACCAAAATTAAAAGCAATTCCCACCAGGATTAACGCTTTCTTTCTTCTCATTAACATTAGTTGTGAAAGGAACTTCACCATAAAAGTTGTCAGACTTTTTTCATGAGATTTAGATGAAAATTATAGTGAGAAGAGGGACAATATTGTGTTGTCTTCCACTTCTCCCAATAGCAGCAAGCAAGAAAGAGCTGTCATTGGGTGGCTTTTCTCTTCTCTTGCTATCATGGTAATTCTTTGAGGTCACAACCCAACACAAACACCAAGTCCTTATCGTTTTCAAGCACACCCACTTGGCTATAATATAGATTGGTCCCATGGAAATTTATAAGAAAGACTATCTGTTTGTGTTCTGTCCTAGATCTCCATCACACACACAAATACTTATTATTTTCATGAGGTCATTTCTCAATGTGGTGGGCATTTGAGGCAATGGGGCATCTTCTCTCTATCTATTATCTTGTCCTCAAATCCTACCCCATTGACAGCCTTGAGTTTCACTTGATTGACACCTTATCTTGGATCACATTAATGCCCATTTTCTACAAGAATCGGCAGTCGGTTTCTAGATTTCTTGAAACAAGAAATTAAAAAGTTTTCAAGTCAAATATTGGTATCAGTTGCAATCTTTAGGCAACAGTTAAATATCAAAATTTCTTGAGAACCCAAATCTTCAAATCATGATCCGGAGATCATGTGAACCTAAAAATAAAAAGATCATGGGTTAATGTTTTGCTATTTCCAATTCTAGGTCAAACTGAGTTGTCATTATCTTTTCTTAATTTCTTCCACTAGGTAGTTTTTGTGTCTCATCTCATCCACTAATTTAGAGAAGAAAAATCTTGCATTTTTAACACATTTGTACTTCTCTAGTATTTGTTATTAAACAACTATCTAAAAAATATCTCACGAAATAACCCTATTCCAAAATTTCAGGCACTTTTATTATTATTATTATTTTTTTTTTTTTGGTAACCAAGGTGTTTGGGGCTAATTTGTGTGCACCTTAACTAATCATCTGGACCTGAAGTGAGCATCCGAGCAAATCATTTCAATGACCATCCCTATTAGTCTTATTTGTGTCTAAGGAGATTCAAAACTCAAGAATTCATGTTAGACCCTTTTTCTTTTTTATCCTCATACCACTCATGGTAGTTATTTTTACACATTTTCCTTTCTCAAGTATTTGTTTTGACCCAAATGGAAATGGGGTGGGTATACTATAAGTAATAGAGTTGTTTAAATTAAGTGAAAGATGATTACTCACTGAACTGCAAGGAATCTTGTTTCTTCTGAATGAATGACAGCTACAAATATAAAGGGGGTTGTTCTCTACTTTAGTAGGTGGGTAATTTTGCTCAAGAATCAATGGTTTACTTTTATTTCTTTTTCTTTCTGAGTTTCTGATAGAATAGTCCTTTTGTGTTAAGCTCATCAGGGTAAATTTTAATTTTCTTCTATAATTGTTTTTGGTTTCCCCTTATCGTACATGAATGTAGCAGGCATTGCATTGGTCAGTGTGGCGTAATGGCCATGTGAACGCAATCAGATTCCAGGTTATCTCCAACTTATATACAATAAACACTTAATATAAACCTTCCATAATTAAATGTTGTAATCACACATTCTTGTGTGATCCAATCTCTTCTTCACCACATATTATATATAATTAGTATACAAACAAACAAACAACGCTAAGTCTTAAGAGAGTTGGTTTCTAGATAGCTACTTCCTTTAATCATATCATATTATCATATTTTCTTTGGGATTAATGGTTGAAATTTTCTTCATATTCCATGCTTTGAATCTGGACTCCCTGTAAAGGCAAGAGAGTGTTCACTTTTTTCAAGATTACAATTCTCATACTAATAAGATTTCTTCAATGCTCAGTATTGATGAAGAATATGAATTGGTATTCTGTCAAAGTTACCAGCTTTCATGTATATACTTTTAAGAAAAGAGATCAAAGTTGAAATGAGAAATGGGGAAAAGAAAAAGATGTGAAATGTAGAAAAATAAACCATTAACCATCAATCAACTGCGGATCTATCCTTTTGTAATTTGATATTTTTCCACATTCTTTAAGCTACCCAAGATGGCATTTTGCGTATCTTATCATGTGGCAAATGCCAAACTTCTCGGCAATCAACATTTATCAATTCATATCTCTAAATGGGGCCAAAACCTATATTTATGGATAACTCAATGGGACCAATATAAAAAGGGAGACTTGCTATTAACAATTCTTTTCTTTTGACACCTCCAATATACAAAATCCTGTAAAAATGCTCATGAATTTACAATTATCACTTCTGGGAAATTTCTTCCAAGTGAAACATGACCATTGATTACAACTACATCATATTGTTTTTAACCCCAATTGTGATAATGAAACTATAATTTTTTTTTTGTTCCTCTGTCATGGCATTGCTTAAGACACAAACTTACAACAAATCTGGTTTGGAGATTTCTAGCAGAGAGCTCTACCATAATAAGACATGGCACATGGTCATAGACACAATTATGGTCAACAAACTAATATTTTTAGGAGAAATGCTAAATACCAAGTTATATTAATATTAAAACAAAACGGTATTTTTTTTTTTTACCCAAAGTGTGCATTGATGACAACTGATGCAATTCAAGGCACATGAACTCTAAGCAAGTGCATTGCTAATAATCACATTCACAACATAACATAAAAAAAAAAAAAAAAAAAATCAAGGAAATGCAATCCTAAAAGAACATAGGGCAAATTAATTATAAAATGAAAGAATTTATATATAGTATTTTTTTAGAAAAAAAAAATGCCACTACCCATGGGCCATGTACATTACCTCGAGGTATTTTCACTCCAAGAGGGGAGCAAAAAAAAAAAAAAAAAAGCCAAAAATTAGTAAAAATTTGAGTTTGGTGGTTCACAGAATATCTGACCCCAAATTAACACAAAAAAAAAAAAAAAAACCGAAAATTGTAAAGTTTTATTGTACTTGATTTATTTATTTTCATTTTTCATTTTTTTTTTTTTACCATTGGTGATTTCTTGTTGGGCCTCATCCTGGGCTTGCGGTTTGGCTTGTACCCTAAGAAAGAAAAACTTCAACACTCGAATCTCTCATGTTGAAACACAGCGGGCACGCCTGAACCACCCGTCACATTCTGTACAGACACAAAGATGCCGACACGGCAACAGCACCACCGACCCACCCGTTTCGGCACCCTCTACATGGCCCCCCACAACGCCCATCGAAACACACGGTCAGGGTCGACATAAGCTGACTCGGCCATCCTCCACGACCTCCGCGGTGCACATTAGCCCATCGTCGCCTCTCCTGCTATCCTGCGCCGTTCCACCGCCGCCCCCACCACTATTCATTATCGCCTGCTGCAGCTGCGCTTGTAGCGACGCAGCTGTTGCCTCCTGTGCCCGTGCCTTCGCCTGCCAAACCTGTGCCTCCACGCTAAGCTGCGCGGCACGTGCCTCCAACTCCGCATTTCTCCGCGTGGCCTTTTCGACTTCCGCATCTTTTTCTCTCAACCGTCGGGCTATTGATTCCTCTGCCGCGCCCAGCAGCGCGCGATAGTGCCTCTGACTTTTCTCGGCTAATGCACGCCGCAGTTGCTCTCCCTAAATAAAAAAAAAAAGAAACTGATTGTCAACCTCTTCATTAAAAACAATAACTTTGAGGTTGTAAATTAAAAAAATGAATTAGAATTAGTACCTGAGCTAGGAGGAATTGGTCTAATTCGTCGCGCTGGCGTTTGATTTGAGTGGCTAAATCTTCTGACAATAAAGACGATGAGAAAGGACTCTGGCTTATAATATTCTGATGCTGTTGTTGTTGTTGTTGATGATGATGAGTTTGTTGATGCAAGTGTTGTTGATCGCCGAAAGATAAACGGAGTCCGGTGGAGACGACATTGGGGTGGTGGAGCTGGGAGAGGTTTACAAGTTGAGGAGGTTGAGTTTGCATAGATAAGGGATTGATTGGAGATGTTGTTGTAGTTGTGTTTGTATTGGCAGCCGCGGGAAGTTCTCTGCTTCTTTTGCGTGGATTATTACTACTTCCTGTTTTTGAAGAAGATGAAATTCAGAATCTAGAATTTTGAATTTTGATTAAGTTAAAACTTTCGAATGGCGTATAGCTGAAAGCTGACGTACTGTTACTGACCTCCATTGTTGAAAGACATGTATGATTGATCAAGAAACAATCCTCCACCTCCGGGTTGTGGTTGCAATGAATAATCATGCCCGTCTTGGCCGCTTCTGCAAATTTATAATAATTTAGACAAAAAGATTGAGACTTTGAAGATAAAAAAAAAGAGAGAAGAAAAGAAAACAAACCTGTTTAGAAGGAGAACATTGGATGGGTATTGAGCTTGAACAGCCATTGTAGATTATATAAATGAGAAGTTGGAGAGACAAAGGAGATGATAAGTTTGTATGTATATATGTAAATAACAGGTGAGGTTTGATTATGATTATGATTATGATTATGATTTTGATGGTGATAATAAAGAAAGGCAATGTGAAAGGAAAGGGTTGCAATAAACGCTAACACAAAACAAGCATGAAAGAGAGAAGAAGAAAGATGCCTGCCTCCTTCCCCACACAACACTCTCTATCTAACTATTCTTGGGCGGACTCTTCAATGAGAGAAAGAAAAGATTTTTCCTCAGAGATAACAAAAAAATAACAGTAAAGAGAAAAAGAATCAATGAATTTATATGTATAGAGAGAGAGAGGCGACCACCACCAGCATCACCATTACCATTTCATAACTCTTCTATCTATCACCATTTTAATTTTGTTTTGGGTAATTGCTAAGCTTTATATCTCTCTCTCTCTCTCTCTCTTAATTTGAGAATAGTATATATATATATATATATATATATATACAGAGATAGAAAGAAAGAGAGAAAGAGAGAGATAGATGCGATTGAAACGAATCGGTCCAAGAGAGAGACACCTTATTCCGCTCTTTCTTTCTTTGTTTTGTTTTGTTTTTTAGCCTTTGCATTTGCTTCTCTTCTTCTATGCGTGAGGTGGGGTTGAGGACTAGTCTCGTGTTTGTTATCAACTCCAATCCACACCTATTCTAATTTACTTTTTACTTTTTTATTATTTTTATATCATAAATAAGAGAGAGAAAATCAATTGATATTGATTTTTTTTATTTGTAGTTGTAAGTTGTACAATAAGTTGTTGTGGAGCGTGCAGGTCTCTGCCGCTACCGCTGGATACTGTTTGTATTCTTTTTCATATATATATATATATATATATCCATGCGTCCCTCGCCACCTTCGCTTTTTTACATTATTGTTCGTTCATCTTTTTACTTTTACCTTGTTGCCTTACGACTTAAGGGATTGTCCTTGTCCTTCGACTTCAAGTACCCATATTTAATATTTATTTTTTCTTATCAAAATTTGAAGCAAATTCAAATATTGACCCTGGAATCTCGATTCTAGTTCAACCCATTTGTCTTTACCACATTAATCTTAATTTTTGTATTGAAATTTGGGTAAATCCTTGATTTTGAAGATTCAAACTATTAATCCCTTATCTCAGAAAATAGAATACTCCCGACCTAATTGCTTGGTTATTGGTTGAGTTCTCTTATTCTCTCATCCAAATTTTTGGTATGACTGCGTCAAATGACTAACATAAGCTAAGCTCTTTAATCCTTTATTTAGGGGCCATCAATTCATTTGAAGCAACAAAATCTCAAATTTTAAACCCATCTATCTACTTGTTAATTTGTATTATTATCTTGTTTCCTTTTGCCAATCCACATTAATTCAAAAATATTTATAGCATCTAATTGTATGCCTAACACTACGAAAGAGGTACTAATAATAATTTAAGTTGATATTGGTGATCTTCCCCAAAACCAAGAAGGTTTTAAATTAATGGAGGTGACAAAGAAAGAGAGAATGGCACCAAAAAAAAGGAGAAAGGTTAGAGAAGAGAGTGGGTTGGAATTGGAATAGCATCACGCAATTTGTCTTTGTAAATTGGTCCCACTCCCACAAAAACAAAATAGGTCGGCTCCTAGCCAAAGCTTAAAATCTTCCATTCAATTCATTAACACAACTCATTCATTTTCATTTCTTCATTGTTTTCTTCTCCTTACTTTAGTCGTCTTACTCTTTTATACAATAACAATACAACACCACCTTTCCTTTTCTCTCTTCCAGATGGTCTCTACTATGTTATCATCTTAAATATTTGGGAGTTGACTAATCATTTTGATGGAATTATGTGAACCAATGTTTGAAAAATCAAATCTGATGAGCAGGCCTAATCGGTTGACCTCACCCCCAAACTCTAAATCTACTCCACCCATTAGGTTAGGTAAACCTCACCCCTAATCCAATTATACAAATCATAGTTAACTTAAAACTTATTGACAGTCTATATTTAAACTTCCAATTCAACACGCCTACCCATAATAATAGCACATCAACTGTACAACTTTAGAATACCATGCTATTTTCTTCTTTGCATGCTGATAATCTTGAACCCTCTTTTGGGTTTGTCTGGTAAAAGCAAATCAAATGAACCTTTTGCTTGGGGCTTGGAACTATAAAAAGTAAGGACGGGTTAAACAATAAACACTCTACAAGTCCAAAAGATTAGGTAAGTCACAATATTGTTGTGGTAGACAGTCTAAAGGTTTCAACCCAAAGAACTTAAAGAAAGATACAAACTTCTTTAACTACCAGACCAATCCCTTAGGATTAGTTTATCTTATTTTTGAACCATCCGCTTTGGTTCAAAAAGTATTAAATATCTCCTGTAAGGGAATTTTCATAAATTTATAAAATTCTTTTTGATAATAATAAGTCGATTTTTAAGATAAAAACAAATAAGTTTAATACTAAAAAAAAAAAAAGAAATCATCCCAAGTAAGGAAGCTTCATTAATCACTGTCTCTACTTGTCCTTTGGGCAAAATGTTACGTTTTGTTTGGTTACAACAACAATTATTTCAGTAATATTCAAAAAGAAAGATCCCCTAGCTGTTCACTTCACCATTTATAGCCTTTAATTTTAATTTTTTTGTAATTAAAAATGAAGAAGAAGAGTCATCATTTTCCAAGATGTGTCATGAAACCAGGCGCATTTCCTTGGGTTGAAGACAACACCAACTTAAGACATTTCTTTAATCCTAATCCAACCATTCCCCAGTCTACATTTTGCTTCACCCACAAACTCCCAACCCTGAGTTTTTGGTCCATTAATCAAATTCCTAATCTTTCAAGCAAACAATCTTTTTACGTACGGATAAATGAATTATCCGTTCTACCGTCACNAATACAATGCTATTTTCTTCTTTGCATGCTCATAATCTTGAACCCTCTTTTGGGTTTGTCTGGTAAAAGCAAATCAAATGAACCTTCTGCTTGGGGCTTGGGGCTTGGAACTATAAAAAGTAAGGACAGGTTAATCTTTTGGGTGTCCGGACCATTTTACGCATACCTTAACTAATTTTAAGATTCATTAAACAATAAACACTATATAAGTCTAAAGGATTAAGTAAGTCACAATATTATTATGGTAGGCAGTTCCAAGGTTTGAATTCAAAGAACTTAAAAAAAGAAAATAAATTTCTTTTAACTACCAGACCAATCCCTTAGGATTAGTTTATCTTATTTTTGAACCATCCACTTTGGTTCAAAAAGTATTAAATATCTCTTGTAAGGAATTCTCATAAATTTATAAAATTCTTTTTGATAATAATAAGTGGATTTTTAAAATAAAAACAAATAAGTTTAATACTAAAAAAAAATAAAAATGAAATCATCCCAAGTAAGGAAGCTTCATTAATCACCGTCTCTACTTGTCCTTTGGGCAAAATGTTACGTTTTGTTTGGCTACAATCAACAATTATTTCAGTAATATTCAAAGAGAAAGATCCCCTAGCTGTTCACTTCACCATTTATAGCCTTTAATTTTAATTTTTTTTGTAATTAAAAATGAAGAAGAAGAGTCATCATTTTCCAAGATGTGTCATGAAACCAGGCGCATTTCCTTGGGTTGAAGACAACACCAACTTAAGACATTTCTTTAATCCTAATCCAACCATTCCCCAGTCTATATTTTGCTTCACCCACAAACTCCCATTAATCTTTCGAGCAAACAATCTTTTTACGTATGAATTTAATGAATTATCCGTTCTACCGTCACATGGATTAACGTATGAATTTATATGGCAACCGTAGGGGCTAATCACAATTATCTCCCCAAGAAGAAGAGTCCTATATATATTTTTTATAATTTTCTAGGGTTCTCTCTATCTTTTTCTTCCTTCCCACTCAATTTTCTTGGAGTTTTTTTTCTTTCTTTGAATGCCACCATCCTCATTCCACACCTCCACCATTCCTCTACTGTCTACCCACTACCTATCAATGCTTTTCTTCACACCAAAAGCACTCCCAACCATCCCTAATTATTCAATAATACTCTACTTTAGCTTTCTATTTTATTTTTAATTTAAAACATACCCCATTATTTCTGACTTTCAATTATTAATCCTAGGTTCACAAGATAAAAATTTTTTCTTCTCAAGTTAAAAATAATATTTTTCAGAAAGTGGGAGACTAGTAGCTAGAGACCTAATTAATTATTCAACTAAAGCAAATGAATATTAATAATCTTATCTTTGATGGGCATTATGTGTGATGTAACCAATTACAAATTGTAGAAATTAGGTTTATGAATTATTACTTGTATCATCACCCAACTATTACCCAATTATATTTAATTTAATTGGCACATCAACCGCCCACTAATTTCATTCTTTTTTATTTTTTGGTTCATAGAGTCAATAATTAAAGGAAACAAAAAAAAAAAAAAAAAAAGCATATTGATATGGGTATCAATCTTTTCATTGATAAAAATGGGGAAATTAATGGTAATGTCAGGAAGAGAAAGAAAGGTGGGTGGAGGTGATATAATTAAAATACATTTATGTTATTGTATTGAGATGATAAATAAATGCAAGTCACAAGAAGAGAGCAGCAGGCAGTAACAGTATGCAGAAGAAAAGGAAATTGGGGGGGAAGCAATCAAACATAAGAGTGGGGTGACTCTGTCTGAGTGGGGTGACAAAAATATTTACAACAATCTCTCTTCTCTTCCCCTTCCTTTTTTCATTCATTGTGGTCACTAAGGGTGTTTAAAATCGGTTAACTCGGTTTTTTAATTCAGGAATTTTCCTAAACCGAACTGGTTTGAGGAGAAAACCGGGTTTTCCTCTTTTTATTGGATAAAACTTATATTTTTTTTATTTTTCCTAAATAAGTCTCAATGGAAAACAACAAAAGAAATTGTGTAAATTTAAAGATTAAGATTATATATATATATATATATATATAAAGAGAGAGAGAGAGAGAGTGTAAAACCTCTCTATAGTCATAATGGGACTAACTAATTTTATTATTATGAGGAGGTTATAACTTAATAGAGGTATAGTTACAAAAATTATTGTTTTGATTTCTTATTTTATAATTCATGTTTTAATAGTATAGTATTAGGATTTCAATTTAACTCTTCAATTGCCTACTTTTGAAATGGATAGAAGATCTGTCTTGGAACTAGCAAAGATAAGTGTCATTGGTGGAACTGTAAATACAGTTGATGCATGGTCAATTGATGTGAAGCCACATACAATTACCAATAGTTTTAAGCATTGTAAAATTAGGACCCCCAGTGTCGATGAATTGCAAGTTACAAATGAAGTGGATGAGGAGAATAAAAGAGTCATTGCAGAATTGAGGGATCAGATTCGACATCTTCACTATACTAATCAAATGGATATTAATGTCTTCCTCGATCATCCAAATAAACAGTAAATCA